TCTTTGAATCTCGCAAGATCGTCGATTACTTTCAAGAGGGCAGTTTGGGGAGTATTCGATTTTCTTCAAGAACAGCTCTTACTTGACGGAAAACATATTTCTCGAATATTTTAGAGAATAAGGTCAGAATGCTGATAGGGCGTAGGTCACTGAACGTAAAATCTACATGAATATTTTCTATCTTTCCAAAACCTTGTTAATTAGTATTACTCTATTTTCGAATTCATAAATAAACATTTCAAGTATTTTCAATCGCAAATAAGTTTCGAAAATTTTCTAACTCAATTTATGTTCTCAAACTTAAGCATAGAAGTGACAAATTAGTTTTGAAATATATTGTTTCAAAAAAAAATTAAACAAAATATGTACTCAAAAAGTATTTTAATGACTCACATACAGAGTTGTATCCACAGTGAGTTTATATTTTTATTCATTCAATTGAATCGTTTCACTACTATTACTACCAAGATAAATAATATATCGATTATTAATGAATAAAAAATCATTGTTATTATTTTCATTATCATTATTATTATCATTGACAAAACGAAAGTTTTGATAGAATATTTCATGCTAAAGAAATGTGGGCTTGGCTGCACACAGAAACTGACCTTCCAAACGGTCGTCTTCAATGGAAAATTTATCTCTTTTGAAGTTTGCAATAAAATTTGTTATGCTCATACACAAAGAATATTGACAATGGTAATACAAGTAAAAGGCGACGACAGTATCACAAAATCCTCGATTTGATGGTTTTAGGGGAAAATTCATGTTGAAAAAATTCAAAACATTGCTTTAGTTTCATTAAAAAAATCAGATTATTAAGATTTTCAATAAAATAAAGCATGAAAATACTGCAATCGGCCATTTTGACTGGAACACCAATAACAACACATGACGTCACGCTTAGGTAAACTCCGCTGTCAAAACTCTCATTCACTGTGTTTTGTTGTTGCCAATACTACTGATTACGCATTTAGGTTGATTTTTCATGATTTTACGTGTGATTTATCGACTCCACCCTACTATAACAATGGAACCAAGATTTGTTAGGCGAATAGCTCAAATTTGCCGAGGATTAATGTCTTAATGTTGGGTGCTGCACAATTGAAGAATTTTGCTCGTCTGAGTGAAAACTTCCTTGTACCTAAGTGAATCTTGTAATTATCTTCATCACTAATACAACCAATTTATTTTTTTAAGGACAAAACATAAGCACTACTGGAAAATACTTAAGGCTCTCTCAGATTGGTGCCTGTGCGAAAGTAGCGATTCACATTGGGTTTGAATGCCTGGAGATTAAATCCATTTGGAAAAATGTTCTCAGGGATCATATTCCACATAAACGCAGTTCTGCAGATGAAAGAGTTCTTGAACAGTGAAGTTCGAGGTGTACTGAGATGAACCTCAAAACGATGGGCAGCCATAGTCCGTCGCGTATTTCTGATATGTATCGCCCTTGGTGGAATCAAATGTGCCAAGTCACTTGAACACCTCCCATGAAAGAATCTATAGAAGAGAGGCAAATCTCCAACCTATTTTCGATGTTCCAGGCTATCAAGGTTGCACGTGATGTTCGCGTCCCCAATCAGGTGAATGGCTTCTTTATGGATGGAGTTCAGCAATTTCAGGGTATGTTTGGGGGCAGAGCTCCATGCATGAGAACAATACAAGTTTTTGAGAAGCAGCCTTTGCAGTTCCAGCGACATAATTGTGTCCATTTCATCCTTCAACAAACTTATCGAAGCAGAAAGCGGAATTGTCTGACCTGACATTATCATATCCGGTTCGTTGACATTTATCTTCTTGGAGAAAACCGATGCCTGTGGTTGGTGACATTGAATTGAACCTGGCTACTTCCACCCAAAATTGAGATAACTTTCAGATTCTCATTAAGATATGCAACCTTCTGATGCCGGTGAAGATGTGCCTCCATTGCCGATGTCGTGGAATCCAAATGGAATCACGAGACAAGTGTGCTGTCGTCAGCAAAGCAATATATTGGATTATTGGATTTTTCAATGAGCCGTTGATATACAATAAAAAGGAAGTTGGAGACAATATGGATCCCTGGGGAACACCAGCGTTGAAGGTGAAAGTATTCGAGAGATAACTATCGACGGACACTTGCAGGAAACGTTCTTTCAGGAAGCTGGAGAGACATACTCAGAAATGATCTGACAAGCCATAGCATCGAAGTTTGGCCCGCAAACCCTCAAGCCACACACGGTCAAAAACAGCTCTTGATTCTCCATGTTTCTCAATTGTGTTATTCCAAAATGGGTGACATACGATAGAAGGCCGCCTGTAGATCTGTTTCCGAAAACCATATTGATAATAGCTCAAGATGTTGAAGCCTTCCAAATCTTTGAGGATAAGGTGGTTTACGACTCTATGATTTTTTATATCACTGATAGCAAAGCGACTGGTCTATAGTTATTTGGAAGATTTTTTTGCCCTATTTGGGAATAGGCTGAACGCGAGCAACCTTCCAACTTGAAGCAAAAACCCCTTTCTTGTAAGACTCATGCGAGTTCATTTTACTTTCATAGCTTATTTTTACAATAAACTTGTCATTGTTTATTTTTGAGGTTAGTTCCGTCACAGCTTGTAAGTTGATATTTTAGAGTGAATACTATGTTAATACTCGAAGAAAGTAGATGATTAAAATTGATAATAAGAATGATCGCCAAGGCCAAGAATGGACCATGGAACCGGTCCAAACTTTAGATGAATTCTCGTAGTTCAACTTCTCATAACGCCAATTCGGTTGGCGAAACGCATGTTGTAGTTCAGGTGTTGGGGCCAGTATTTGTTCTGGAAGAAACATCCTGTATAATAGTTAATTTATCACCCTGATATATCATCCATATATCACGATCATCAAATTCTGAATAATCCGAAATTCTATATACAAGGACACATATTATCAGTTTGTACTATGAACCGTCAACGTGCAATTCGAGTCTAACCGAAATGCATAAAGAATATCCTGTTCTACTTTATCTTTTTTTAGTGCTCGGATCCAACATCTTCAAGGTCCGCAATTGTAATTCGGGAGCGATAAGATCAAAATAAATAATCGAAATTGGTTTTACTTCCATATCAAATACGTGATAAGTGAAATTCACTAGTGTGGAAGGAAGGAAGTGTGGATTGAACTAATTTTACTATTTTAGTACATGTGACTTCTTGGGTAAGTGCGACTTTTTTTCTGAATCTAGGAAAAAGCCTTGGTAATAAGTAGCTTGAGTACATATTATTTGGTATTTGCTTATGAATTATTTGATAATTTTTTTCACAGAACCTGAATTATGCTATATTTCGTTTGTACGTGAAGTTTCATTGACAACTGAAGTGAAAGCTATGTGAGGCAGAGAATATTGTAGGATATATTTAGATTAACTGATTAAATATCAACAAAAGTTTCAAAACCTAAAAAAAAACTGTGAACAATCAGATAAATTATGGAAGTGAAGTAAGGAACGTAATAATTCTACATAGCGATAAGAAACACTGAAAAATTGGTTATAAAAAAATCAATAGTTTCAAAAACATTCTCTTTGCAACATTTTGAATAACGTCTGAAGTATTTCTACTAATTTCAGAACTGAATTGATTTTGTAACATCTGTAAATTTTTGGGTTTTTCTAGATCGATTTTTCATTTTCCCTACAGCAATCATTCTACGGGGCTTAAGATCCGAAGACTTGAAGGACGCTGAAGGATATTGTTGTTTACTAACAATAATAACAGTATTGCTTTACTAGGTTGAAATATTAATGAATGAGTCAGTCAATTCAATTATAACTGAATTCAATGAAAAACCACTCACAAGTTGAGGCTGGTGTCTTAACCTCATTTACACTTTTATCGAAAAAAATGTAATTCAAAATTTAACCGTTTTTCGTGAAAACTATTTTTTCAAAAGAGGGATTCAGTTAATTCAAACTAAGACGGTCAATTACTAAGGACTCCTTTATACAAGTTTTTTTTTTTTTGTGCCCATTGAAATTTAACTCAGTGTTTCGAGTCTGAGTAAAATTTTGGATAGGCTGCACCCTCCAAAGTTTCGAAAATTGCTACTTTTCGACCTTCTTTTTGCACAATACTAAAAAAAAATAAAACTATTTCACTCCTGATGAAAATAATATTAATGACAATGATGCAACTGCATACGGCAAACATAACTTGTTACGTGTAAGTACTAACCAAAACAATACATTAGCAATGAGTTCCCAAACCACATGTCAGTCAAAATAATGATAGTAGTAATGGTGATAGTTATGATACTGTTGTTGAGATGTCAATAAGGCCTATATCTCTTTCCTAGTGTAGTGATAGGTTTATTATTTATACTTCTTGTACTCTTGCAAGAACCCCCATTATATAAAGTAGGAGCCAGTGTCAATGTTGTAAGTGGTCTATATCGTTTTCATATAGTAATATATATATTTGATAACTCGTAACAATTCATTTTTGTTGGGTTGGGGACTGATGAGTAATTAATTTTAGTGGTTTTTTTTAAACAGCAAGGGCTTCAAAAACCACTTGGCGCCCAAATTATTTCATCAAAATTGTAATAAAAGTGTTAAAATCTTTAGTAACCCACGGCCCTATCAGAGCAGGCACATTACCTGCCATACTTAACCCCTCCCCTTCAAATACGGTCCAAAACCTGGAAATTAACAAACATACAGGTTGGACGTGATACATTATACATATAATGAAATGCCACCCCAAATATGTCATTTGATATTGAGACTGTAAAAAAATTGTGAAACACGAAAAAGGTATTGTCGAAAATAGAAAAATCTTGGAAGGCCATTCTGTAGAACCTCTCCTTTCATTCCATTGACCTGGTGAGTTACTAATGAAAAACTGTCACGCTGGTACTACGCAATGAGGAGGAACCACCTACTTTTGAAAAATCACAGCACCTCAACATATTGAAATATCTTTCATCATTCAGGTTGCTTCTGAAACGATACTTCTATGATATGGTTACCCACAATTCCAGCCAAAACATTAAGTTCTTGGAGATATTGGGTATGAATTTGGCGTGTCATTTTGAGTCACTTCAGTATTGAAAATTTTTACAATTTATCTGCCCAATCAGATAAAATGTACATTCATGCGAGTACCATATGGTGTATCATTCATTAGTGCTCAGTATGAACATTGCTATCAGTGGACTTGTGTGTTGACGTTGGCCTTCTAGTTTGAATTTTAATGTGAACTCAAATTAGTATTTTAATTTTTCTAGCATTATTTATCGTTCTAATGTAAAAAAGGTGACAGGGTTGGATACAGAATTTAAAAACCTTTCAAATAAGGTGTACAACATTCACGAAATAAAAACAGTTTTAGAAGNATAATGATATCATTGACTTATACCACAATGTTGATGATGAGTATAAGGATTTTTCTGATAATGATGGTGATATTAAAGGAGAGGACGATGCAGAGAAAAATTGGAACATTTCTATTTATACAGATAACAAAGGAAACATTTCGATAAAAACCATTCCACTTCAAATAACAACGCAAGGATACATTTCGAAAAGAAGTGTTCCTAATACTGATGATGAAGATTTAAATTTTTTTGGTAGCGGTAGTGGAAGTGGAGATGGACGCAATGCAATTTTGTCGCCTACTAAGAGGGATTTCAAAAATGACAACAATGTCAATAATAAAAAGACTACCAGAGACTTGATATCATTGGAAAACAAATTAAACAGCAGCATCAGTGACAACGGAACTGTCCATGGAAATTACAGAAAACATCAAAATCATTTTGCAAATGCACCTAGGAAAGCATTAAACATCAATTCATCTTCTACTGATGATGATGATTTAGTAATTTCTGGTAGTGGCGATGAAAGAAATGAAGATGCACATGATAATATGACGTCTCGTTCATCAAATAGCAATAGCATTTTCAAAGTCACATCCTCCACCTCAAACAAATCTATTCGAACTGAAGATAATCCTGTTGTTGAAAGTAATATCAAGAATAGAGAAGCTACAAAATCATCAGAAAACAATTTATCTGAAATAATAACCCAAATGCCTACTGTAGAAACTAATTTTTTCAATAGCGATGATGAAGATTATGAATTTTCTGGTAGTGATGATGATAACAGAGATGAAAATCTTGTGAACTCTAAAGAGTTTTTTACAGACAAAGAGGTACATTTTTGTCTAAATAGTATTCCTACTGTCGAAAATACCATGAAAAAAATCGTTAATGATAACGAAGCAAAACATTCATCAAAAACCAATTCATTTAAATCAACAACCCAATTAGTTGTTTCAAAACAATTTCATTCTACCACTGATGACGAAGATTACAAATTATTTGGTAGTGGTGGTGATATAAATGAAGATGAAAATTCTCTAGATTCAATTACAAAAGATCAAGTGTTTAATTTGAATGATATTAATACTCTTACTATTCCTATTAGAACTGTCACCAGTAGCATTAATAATGATGAAAGCGAAGATAAGGAAGAAAGAAATCTGAATACATCTGAAATAACAAGCAAAATGCCTATCACAAGGATTGTTACTCCTGACAGCGATGATGAAGATTACGATTTCTCTGGAAGTGGTGATGAAAATTCAGATACCACACATTATTTTACAAACAGCATGGAGAAGTTCCATTTACAAAGTTTCACTACAAACCTAACTTCCTCAGTTTCTATTCCATTCATTAACTATTCAAGGAAGTCCCATTTATCTGAAGTGACAACCGAAATTCATATTTTAAGGAATGTTGAGTCTGATGACGATTACGAATTCTCTGGAAATGGTGATGACGGTAGTGACAAAAATCATGAAGATTCTAGAAATTTTATCATAGGTGACCGTAAGAAATATAATATACAAGGTATTACAACTACTAGTCCATTGGCTACGATTCAATTGGAAAAAATATCCCAAAGCACCAGCAATCATATTTTTGATAGTATCAAACACAACGAAACAGCAAGTTTATTAAAGGAAAATTTGACTGAAATAATAACCGCCGTGCATATTATAAAGGATGTTATTCCTAACGGCGATGATGAAGATTATGAACTATCTGGCAGTGGTGATGGAAACAAAGTTGAAAACAAGGCAAATTCTACAGATTTTGTTTCAAATGACAAGGAAAAGGTTCACGTACAAAACACTGCTAACAGTACTACTGATTTACTTCATATAATGACGACATTTTCACGAACTGTTTCTATTGGTACCAGTAATAACATTGTTGATAAGAATAACAAAAATAACGAAGCAACTAATTCTTTCGTGGACAATTCAACTGATTTAACAACCAAACTGTTTGTTATAAAGACCTTTGTTGCTAACAACGATGATGAGGATTATGAATTTTCTGGCAGTGGTGATGATGCTAATTCTTTAGATTCTGTTACAGGCAATACAGCAGAGTTCAATTTTCAATATAATTCTAGTCCTCCTACTATAGTCAGTGATTTTAAGGGATCATCTGAGAATATTTCGTCCAGCCGTAACAAAAGTGGCACCATATATTATGAAACCACAAACTCATTGGGATCTAATTCATCTAGAATAACAAATGAAAAACAAATTTTGAAGAATGTGGTTTCCAATAGTGATAACAAAGATGAAGAGTTATCTGGAAGTGGAGATGATGAAGATGATGAATATGATATATCGGTTACAAATGACAAGGAAAAGTTTTACGTACAAAATACTGCTGACACTACTATTACTACACCTTATATAACAACTGATTTGGCGAAAGTTTCACGCACTGTTTCTATTGAAAGTGGCAGCAATAACAAAAATACCAAAGCAACCAAATCTTCAGTGGACAATTCAACTGATTTAATAACCAAAATGTATATTATAAAGACCTTTGTTGCTAACAACGATGATGAGGATTATGAATTTTCTGGCAGTGGTGATGATGCTAATTCTTTAGATTCTGTTACAGACAACACACCAGAGTTCAATTTTAAATATAATTGTAGTCCTCCTACCATAGTCAGTGATTTTGAGGGATCATCTGAGAATATTTCGTCCAGCCGTCACAAAAGTGGCACCATATATTATGAAACCACAAACTCATTGGGATCTAATTCATCTAGAATAACAAATGAAAAACAAATTTTGGAGAATGTGGTTTCCAATAGTGATAACGAAGATGAAGAGTTATCTGGTAGTGGAGATGATGATGATGATGAATATGATATATCGGTTACGAATGACAAGGAAAAGTTTTACGTACAAAATACTGCTGACACTACTACTACTACACCTTATATAACAACTGGTTTGGCGAAATTTTCACGCACTGTTTCTATTGAAATTGCCAGCAATAACAAAAATACCAAAGCAACCAAATCTTCAGTGGACAATTCAATTGATATAACAACCAAAATGTATGTTAAAAAGACCTTTGTTGCTACCAACGATGATGAGGATTATGAATTTTCTGGGAGTGGTGATGATGCTAAANAAAGGTATTTTTTTAAAAAGAACAAAAACATTCAACTACAACACCCTGTATTTCCGAAACAAAGCATTTCCGGACATAATATAGACATTTTTAAAAAAATTGTTTCAGGAGTACGTTCCTTGAAAATTTTAAGGTACTTATGTATATTTTAAAAACTGCTAATAAAGAAAGGATAAGGAAGGCTTCATTGTCTCAATTTAAATTATTTGCTGTCTAAGAAATCAATTATGATGCAGATAATGAAATTCCAATCGCATCATTGCCACCCATCAACGACCCACGTAATGTCAGTTTCCCATTATTTGAGATATATTCAACATGCCCAATACATTGAAATCGTTTTCTTTTTACACGCTTATATTAGCTTCACCTGTATATGTATGTATGTATGTATGTATGTATGTATATATGTATATATGTATGTATGTATGTATGTATGTATGTATGTATGTATGTATGTATGTATGTAT